CTCAACCCGTCCGTGATGTGCCTTCGTTCCGCCAGCAGCATTAGCGCAAGGCCACATGCAAAAGAGACGTCAAGAGGCGTTCAAGATCGGGGGCGCCCCGCGGGTCCTGGGACCGTCGGCGGCCCGCCGTCCGCTTTGTCGCCCGCCCGCGACGTGTTTTCCTCGCCCCCCTTCCCCCTCTACTGCCCTTCCAGGGCCCCGAACGGGGGTCAGGCCGTTTTCAGCTTTCTCAAGGATCGGTCTCCGCTCACCTGGAGCCGCTGGTTTCAACCTTTAGTTCCCTTGTTTAATTTGTGCTCCGCCTTTGCAGTCGGCCGCCCCATATTTGTTCGGTGCACAGCCTCTCTCCCTCCCCTTCCTCCCTCGGCAGCTGTTTGGCTCTTGAAGTTTCGCTTCGCGCGATCTCTCGAGCTGCGCCTCCCGCGCCATCCTTCCGACCAAGTGATGGCGCCCATGCTCTCGAAGCCCGCGCCGATGCCGTGGCCTGCGGTGACGCATGCCGACTCGCCCAGTCACGATGCGGCGCCCCTTCGCGAGGCGCTGGCGGCGAAGGCTAAGGCGAAGTCCGAGGCGCGCGCGAAGGCCAGCGGTTTGACCGCGGCCGACGCGCCCACTCCCAAAGCGTGGCCTGCGCCGCGCCCTGGCCAGCAGGTGAGCGCGTCGTAGAGCAGCGACATCTCGGACGAGGAGTTCGACGTGATGTCGGAGGCGGCGACCTTTCGGACGGCGCCGACACTGCCTACGGAGTCGGCGACGCCTTCTGAGGGCGCCGACGGAGGCAGCGGCACGGGGGCCGCCCCCAGCGCCGCTGCCTCTGACGGTGCCTCTGACGGTGCCCCCACGGCGACGGCCAAGGCGCCCGCTGAGCCCTCGGCGATGCCCCCGTCGGCGGTGGTGCCAGTGACGAAGGCGGCCCTGGCGGCGGCGGCCACCTACTCCAACTTCACCTCGGAGCAGCGCCGCGGGTTAGACGCGATCACCCTCGCGCCCCACAACCTCCAGCTGCGGGGGCAGTCTGTGAGCGGCCACGGCGGGCAAGGCGCGCGCAGCGACGCCGACGGCTGCCGCCCCATGGACGATGAGACCGCCAGTGAGGCCCCGAGTGCGGCGACCACGGGCGCCCTCAGCGGGCGCGGCGGCAAACGCCGCCGCCGTCGCAGCAACAAGGCCGCCTACGGCAAAGCCCCCCCGCCGAGCGGCGGCGCGGCCGCTGGGCTCGAGGACGCTGAGACGATGACGCAAGCGGACTACCTCGCGGCGGGCTACGTGCACTGCATGGGTGCGCACTGGCTCCCGCCGCAGCGCCCGCCTGGGCTGGCGTCGTGAGTGCGCAGCGCTGGATGACTGGAAGGTCATGATGGCGGAGTACGTGGACGAGCTCAACCGCGGCGAAATGCGCCGCTACAGCGAAGCTTCAGAGCACAACCCGCAGTGCCCCAAGCTGCGGAAGGGTGAGCGAGGCCATTACAAGCTGTACACGTGCTCGCGCTGCGTGGCGGCGGCGCAGGGCATCCCCGAGCACGAGGCTGTGACGCTCGCGGCGCGCCAGAACAAGGGAGCTGGCTCCATTGCCCACGCCGCCAAGCGCGTGGCAAAGTTCCGCGCGAGCTTCGACCGCATCAAGGAGGGCATGGACGTGCTTGCGGGCTACGCGCTCTCCAACGACGGCTTGCTAGCCCTGCGGAGGGCGACGGAGGGCGTCGGGGTGGGCATCGCTCCCGAGAGCGTGGGCGCCCCTCCGGCCACGGAGACGGTGGCGCAGGAGGTCGGTCGCCCGATGGCGGTGGAGGTGGTGCCGGGGCCGCCCCGCGCGCCACCTCCACCCCTCGAGGGCGGACCTGGCGCCGCAGACCCTCCCCGCGGCGATGATAGCGACCCCCTGCTCGACAACAACGCCGAGTGCCAGGAGCACCAGCTGGTCGACGCCAAGACTGGAGGAGGTCGCGGATGTCGAGCCCCTGCTGCGGCTCGGCCTCTCCAAGAAATCGCTGAAGCGCATGGCGCGGGCCTACGGTGTCCTCAAATTCGAGACCATGCGCACCCGCATGCCGGGGGGCATGGGGCCCATCCTGGAGAAGAAGGAGGACATGATGAAGGGCGCGGCGGCGCAGGGCGGAGTTCAGAAGTGGCTCGACGCGCTGGATGTGGAGGCAGAGGCTGATGTGGCAGGGCTGAAGAAGGGCCTCCTGGAGGCCTCGGAGATCGTAGACGCGCACCCGGGACACAAGCGCGCGTGGAAGGAGGAGTGCCAGGGCAACGCCATGGCGCAGGAGGCCTACCGACGGATGGGCGACTACACGGACCAGCTCTACCGTGGCAAGGGCTTCACGTTCAACATGTACTATCAGTGCTCGGCCAGCAAGACCTGGGGCAATCCCAAGGGATGCTGCTCGGTGATCCGTTCGGATCGCTGGGCGCAGCTGCTCACCTGCGCGCAGGAGGCGGCGGGGGAGTCCAGCCAGCGCTGGTACTGCCATTGTGGCGCGCGCTACGCGACCTCCTACGGCGTCTGCATCGAGATGATAGAGGAAGAGCTGAGCCCGCCCCGCGCGTACTACATGCACGCGGACTTCCCTCAGGAGGACGCCCGCGACTTGAAGGCCCTGCTGCGTTACGACAAGCTCAAGAGGGAGGGGGTAGCGGTGCTCAGCGCTGTGGACCTCCTGAAGCACCTGCCCAGGGGCGAGCCGCTGGCGGTGGGCACCGTCTTTAAGCGCTACGCTCCGCTGCAGCCGCAGTGGGAGGGCCACTACGTGCTAATGGACGGGCTCTCCTGGGACGACCTGCCTGAGTTCGAGTGGTCCGACTTGCACTCGCAGGTTGCCTGGGGGCTGAACGATCCAGCCTGGGCGGGCTACAGCAAGAACCAGCGGGAGAAGGCCGAGAAGGAGCGCCTGGCGGCCGCGCGCGCGGAACTGGAGGCCTATGAGCGCCGCCACAACCTCCGGGAGGGCAGCCTCACGGGCGGCGGGGGTGGTACCGGGGTCGCCCCGCGTGCCGCTCCCGTCCGCACCGCCAGTGCCCCCCCCGCTGGCTCGGCCCGCGGCAGCCAGGTCCCGCCACCGCCGCCTGCTGGAGCCCCGCAGGCGGCCATCATGGCCCCGCCGCCGCCGCCGCTGACGGCGCCCCCCGCGGCGCCGCCGCCGCCGGCTGGCCCGCCCCCGCAGCAGATCCCCAATGCCGCCGTCCTGAACGTGGCCCTCGGTGAGGATCTCGAGCGCCAGATCTTTGGGCCCCCAGGGCAGGCTTGCGGTAGTGGTGATCTCGGGGGAGAGGTGCAGGCGCTGCCGTCGCAGGTCTCCGCAGCCATTGCGCAGGGGACAGGCCAGTCCGCCTGAGCGCTGAGACTCTGCAGGCCCCCAGCATCGTGTACTTCTGAGCCCTCGGGGGGGGGCTACGTGAGTTCCTGCGTTGAGATTCCGAGCCTGCCACTCTCTATGATGCTGCGCCTGCGTGCTCGCTTACGCCCCAGCTTTAGCAGCGCCGCCGTGCCAGCTTGCGCGGGTACGCCCACAGTGGTGCCCCCCCTCGCGCCGCGGGCCTTGTTGCTTAGTTCTTCGTTCTTCGCACGGTCAACTGTGCGCCTAGCCACTTTGGCTTGCCATCCTGGCCTCTTCTCGCGCCTACTTGCGCTCGTTGGCCTCGATGGCGGTACTGGGGTCGCCCCGTGTGCTGCTGTGCCGCCGCTGTCGCTTTACTCTGGGCCGTAGGGACCAGTTGCCCTCGGATAAGCGCCCGCCGCTGCATGCACGTCAGACCCGCCATTTCACCCAGAAGAGGTGCTCGCTATATACTGGAAATGAGGCAGCCACAAGGACGCTCATCCCAAGGCGGTTGAGCCGTGGTGATGTGGTGCACGTGTCCGCGTAGTAGTAGTAGTAGTAGTAGTAGTAGTAGTAGTAGTAGTAGTAGTAGTAGTAGTAGTAGTAGTAGTAGTAGTAGTAGTAGTAGTAGTAGTAGTAGTAGTAGTAGTAGTAGTAGTAGTAGTAGTAGTAGTAGCAGTAGTAGTAGTAGTAGTAGTAATAGTGGTAGTAGTAGTGGTGGTAGCAGTAGTAGTAGCAGTAGTAGTACAGCAGCAACAGGAACGATGGGGAGGCGGCGGAGGAGTAAAAGCAGCAGCAGGGAAGAAAGAAGGGATGGAGGAGGAAGAGGAGGAGAAGGAGGAGGAGGGGGAGGGGGAGGAGAAGGAGGGGGAAGCGGCTCGTCCAGCTGGGGGATGGTAATGAGGAGGAGGAATGGATGGACGGAGGATCCCGAGGAGCAGGAGCGCGATCGACATCATCACTTGCAACTGCAGGTGAGAGCGCAAGGCTGAGGAAGAGGAGGAGGAGGAGGAGGAGGAGGAGGAGGAGGAGGAGGAGGAGGAGGAGGAGTTGGACGACGACGAGGGGGAGGACAAGGGCGAGGACGACGACGACAACGAGGAGGAGCAACCCCGTCATCCGACGTAGTGGGACGACTCAGCGTCGCGAAAGCAGCCGCAACAAACACGCAGCCATCGACCCCATCTTTATGCATGAATTTTCGGCCAGATCGACCCGGAGTGGTCCTGATGCTCGACACGTGGACGAAGGGTCGGTCGTGGTCTTTACCTCGCGCCCGGATGCCACGGGGGAAGAGCACAATAAATATGAGGAGGAGGAGGAGGGGAAAGAGGGGGTGGAGGACGAGAGTGTGGATCAGAGGAGTCCTCTTGAAACCGGTCCGCTTTCTGGGCACCCTCCTGATCAATTTCCTTGGCCGCGTCCAGCTGTAGCGACGAAGAGGAGGAGGAGGAGGAGGAGGAGGAGGAGGAGGGAGGAGGAGGAGGAGGAGGAGGAGGAGGAGGAGGAGGAGGAGGAGGAGGAGGAGGAGGAGGAGGAGGAGGAGGAGGAGGATGAGGAGGAAGAGGAGGAGGAGGAGGAGGAGGAACAGGAGGATGTGAGAGGAGGGGCTGTCGCACGGGTGCGTGAGGAGCAGAAGCAGCAGGGCGTGGCGGCAGTGTTCGGATGGCCGCCGAGGTTCACTTCTGGTGCCGGGACGAAGTCCTGGCGTGCTCCGGCCACTGCACCGACAGGCCCTCCTTTCTCGCTTCTGTCACCTAAGTCCTCCTCTTCCTCCTCCTCCTCCTCCTCCTCCTAGCCTCCTCCTCCTAGCCTCCTCCTCCTCCTCCCTCCTCCTCCTCCTCCTCCTCCTCCTCCTCCTCCTCCTCCTCCTCCTCCTCCTCCTCCCCCTCCTCATTCTCCTCCTCCTCCTCCTTCCTCCCTCCCCCCTTCACCAGGACCGCCCCCCCCCCTCGTTTTTAATTTGTCCTCCTCAGATCTTCCCTCCACCTGGTGACGTCCGGGAAATATTCGCCCTCCCTTCGCGTAGTGTTTTTGTTACACCGGATTCCCTGGAAAAGGGTTTACGCTTGCGTTTTTGTTCGAAGCTGCTGCTCTCGCTGAAGAGCTGGCCTCATATCCGCGCTTCCACTCGTTCCGAATCGTGTTCCCGCTGCAGCGGTGGCGTCGTCATTTCCAGCGCCATGCCACGGCATGGTTTTCGGTCCTGCCAAATACGCCCCCAAGTTACACATTGGGGCGTCGCAACGCCATGCTGTGTCAGGCTACGCGTCCTCCGAATCGCCCTCCCGCTGCAGCGCTGGCCTCATTTCCGCGTTTCTGCTCGTTCCGAATCGTGCGCCCGCTGCAGCGCTGGCGTCATAATTTCCAGCGCCATGCCACGGCATGGTTTTCGGTCCTGCAAAATACGCCGAAACATCTAGAAGATGCCCACCCGAAGCAACCATCGGAAGTGATTACACATTCGATGCCGATTCGTTGTTGTTTTTTGGCCGCGGAAACTCCCCCCCCACTTTGGGGCGTCGCCACGCCATGGTGTGTCATGCTACGCGTTGATTTTCAACTCCATGCTATGCCATATAATGCGACGCCCTGCTGCGACATCCGACTTTGCGAATAGAGAGGAGATCTACGCCATGGTAAGGGATGGGAGGGCTTTCGTGGCTATACGCAGGGCAGCTGGATGGAGATAAGGGATGGGAGGGAAGTGCGCACCTACCTCGCGACGCTCCCACCAGCGAGACTGTGGGCTGCCCTGCAAGCGCTCACGGGCGCATGGACTACGAGCCACAGAATGCATGTCATCCAGGACAAGCGCCCCTGCTACTTCGGATGCGCGCGCCCGCTGAGCAACGACACCATCCAGCACTACCTCGTGCGCGAGAGGATGTGGCACCAGCTGAGCCTGCCGCGCGGCCAGCTGAGCGCCAACTTTCTCACGCGTCTGGCGCTGCCCGCCCTGTCCGAGCCGTTCGACGGCGAGAACGGCATCCCAAACGCACTCGCGCGCCTCAGCGTGGCCACGAGGGCGTACCACCTTACGAAGGACGACCCCCAGCCCATGAGCTACATCAAGCAGACCTCCGCCATCGCCGCCGCGCGCCGAGCTCTCCGTCTTCCCGCTGACCTGACGGGGAGAGCCGGCGCGCCGCCGTGCAGCTGATCCGACCGTCGCCCTTTCAGGTGACGTTCGCTGCTTTTCTTTCTCCTCCTCCTCCTCCTCCTCGTCCTCCTCCTCTTCCTCCTCCTTCTCCTCCTCCTCTAGTCTCTCGATATCCTCCTCCTCTTCCTCCTCGTCCTCCACTACTCATCCTCATCCTCCTCTTCTTATCCCCATCCTCATCCTTTCTTTTCCTCCTCCCTTCATTCCCTCCTCCTCCTCCTCCTCCTCCGCCTCTTCTCTCCTTATCCTTCCTCCCTCCCCACCTACTCTTGCTTCCCTCCCTGTTCCCTCCTCCTTGCCCGGACCCATCCCATTCCCCTTGTCAAGGGCTCTCTCTCTGATTGGCGAAGCCTCAGGATCACAGTTTTGGTGGAAAGCCTGCCCTCCTTAACCTTATTCTTCCTCCATCTTATTCCTCGCCCACCTTCCCCTTTCCTCTCAGAACACCTACCCGCCGCCCAGGGTTCCGTTTTTGTTGAATGGGGCGCGCGCGCGAAGTGCAAGGATCTCCATGGCCTGCGCCTTGACTTTGCGAAGCGAGTGCTGCGCAGCAAGGATTAGTTGGCCTCCGGGAAGGACTGCGTTCGTTTTGTCATCGCGGGCGCTTTGTGGAATCGCCAGACTTCATTGGACATTGGGTGCCAGTTGGATCCCACGTGCGTGGCGTCGGGGGGTGCCCTTGACCCGCTTTACTGCTGCTTCTGGGATTCGAGTGCCTCAGAGCCGCTGAGCATCGTGAGAGCCTCGCTCAATCACGTGCGAAGCCCGACGATATCCAGTTCCCTGTCGGACGTTGGTCGGCCCTGCAGGGGGATTGGTATCCGATGCTCTCGGCGGAGACCTTGGGGCCTCCGTCGTTCTGCTCATGCACGGCAGCCTGCAACAGCAAGGCGTTTAGTTCACGATGTTTGCCGTTCAATCGTGCGTTTCGCTGTAGTTGATGAGGCAGGCGAGCTCGTTGGCATGGGGGACGGCCCTGCCACGCCCTGCTATCCAGGAGCGGCCCCCGTAGAGAAACTCGCAGGCTTGCGTCGGGCGGTGCGGTGGACGTGGGAGCCTCCAGGTTTGGATATACACGGATTTTCAGCTTGTCCAAAACCTTCTTTTTTTTCGTTCTGAACCGCGATGACTTGCAGTTGTTTGTTGATATCTTTCTCTCTCTGTCCTTCGCTCCGCTTCGGGAGAATCGAGTGTTGCACACAGATAGACAAACCATCCAGACCCTTGAGACGAAGACGCCCGCTCACAAACACCTGTGTCGGTGTGGGGGGGGAGGCATTTTGCCGATGCTGGGGGGCAAGGAAAGTTTTGCAGGCATTGGGCATTTGGGGCACCCGCCCGTCAGCACGCAGAGGAGCCGTGACGGAACTTGATGGCGGCAGCGGGATTTCTCCAGCGATGGTTCGTCTGGCGGCCACACCAATGCCGCCTGGCGGGTCAGCATGGAATCCTCCAGAGCAAGGCTGGCAAGTGCCCCTGCTGCTGCAGCTCCTGGTGCGCCGCGTGAGGTGTGCTGCTGGCAGCCATTCCACCAAGAAGCCTTCGGGTCAAGGATTCTGGAAGTATGGCACTTTGCTTCCCCACTGGTGCTCTTCTTCTTCGTCTCAGGATTGTGGGCTTTCTGCAAGTTTTCTTGAGAGCGGGGACCGCAGATGTGTGACGCCTCTCTGCTCGGACAGTGGGCTCTCAGGCCGATTGCCAGCATTGCTGGTGTTATTCGTCACACCAGCGAGTTGCAGGACTGGTCGGTGAACGCCATGGTCCAACAAAGCCCGCCAGGTGCAGCAATAGGGCTTCACATGCTGTAAACGGACGCATCGCAAAACAGTCATGGTATTGGTGCATGGCGCATGGGGCAACGAACCGGCCGTAGCCGCTTGTCAGTATTCCCCGAACAGCGTTTGCACTTTGAGGTCTTACTTGTCTTCCGTAACAAGCTGGACGGGCATGTTGGGATTTCTGGTGGTGCCCGGATGGTGCCTGGTTGGTACCTGGTCGTGGGCGCCCGTGGGCGCCTCGTGGGCGCCTCGTGGGCGCCTCGTGGGCGCCCCGCGCGAGAGGCGCATGCCGAGCTTTCGCCTGGCGCCGGTTTGGTGCCCACTCGCATGCGCTCTGTGGGTGCCCTGCGCTGGAGGGATATGCCGAGGTTTCGCCTTGTGCCCGACCGTGGGAGCCTGGTGCCCGGTGGGTGCTCCGAGGTGTCGCCTGTGAGGAGACCGTGAGCGGCGCGCGGTCGCGGCCTACGAGAAACGGGCGAAGGACCTCGTGGTGGCCATTGCCATGCGCAGCATTACGCACTACACCCAGGAGCTGAAGGGCCTGGATGAGGATGTCGACGAGCTGCCTTCTGAGCGTGCATCCACCGACTCGTCGTTCGACGGTTTCGAGTACCGCGTGGAGGAGACAGTGGGCATACATCTGTAAGCATCCCGCCGTAGGGGCCCAGCCCCCTCCAACTACGATGATGGCGACGACGCGGGTTCCGTGCACCGAGATGCCCCCTGCAGTGCGGGCTCGAGCGGTTGTCGCTCCTCTCCGCCACGAATCGGTGGCAGCCGCAAGCGACTTGTGTGGCCTGGCGGGTTTTAGTCCAGGCGCAGAGCCGATCATCCCCCCGATCGTGACGTCCAGAGCCAGCCTCGGCACAGCGCGGACTGCAAGCAGGTGTCGTGGTTCTGCCCGTGTTCGTCTGTCCGGTGCCGCCGCCCGCCAGCTTCGCCCTGCCGCCGCTCCTCGTCCTCGTCATCGTGGTTCTCGTGGAGTTCGGAGCAGGGTCCGCCCCCCAGATGGCCGGGGTGCCTTATGCGCGTGTGCATGGTTGATGGTCCCTTTCCACGCCCCCTCCTTTTTCTCGCCTCCCCTCCCTGCCCACCTCCCACCCCCTCCCGCGGGAGGAGGCACTCTCACGCTGGCGGGCTCGGTTGCGGTTGGAATTTCTAGCCCCCTTGCCCTTCCTCCAAGGACCGCGCAGGGGGCACTTCATATACAGGTTCGAGGCTCACTTTGCCAGAAGACAGCACCCGAGTAGCACTCGAGAGACGCTGCCCATCATCCCTGCTCCTCCCCTCCCCCTCTCCCGCACCCGAGTAGCCCTCCAGCACCCGAGTAGCCCTCCACCCTCTCCCTGCTCCTCCCCCCGCCCCTCCCCTCCCCCTTCCTGCCAGTGTGCTTCAGCCCCCTCGCCCCCCCCCCCCCAACCCCGCCCCCCCACCCCCCCCAACCCCGCAGGCCCGCGTACGCCGGCTCGGACGCGTTGTTCCGGTGGCTCCTTGGGCTCCGCCGCCAGGGGCCCGGGCGCAGCGATTGCGAGGAGAGGAGGGAGATGGAGGAGATGGAGGAGACGGGGGACCATTAAAAAGGTTATTCCCATGGTTTCAGTGTGATTGAGTAGGTTTTGAAGTTGTGGTTTGTGGGGGTACCATGGATGAGGACACGGGAGAGGAGGAGGAGGAGGAGGAGGAGGAGAAGGAGGAGGAGGAGGAGGAGAGGGTTTGGCCTAAACCACCCGCAGGACAGAACCGATACTGCAACCTGCGATCCTTTTTACTTTCCTCTGCAGGCCTAGCCCCACGCGCGCGCCTAGCAAGGCACCGCGATATCAGTCATTTCTTCTCTCTTGTTCTCGCGCGACACCGAGCCAGCTCGGCATCGGCGCGAGCGCGCCAAGCGTCATCAAGCACGGCTGCTTGTGGCGCTAGACCGATCATATCGGCTTCTTTCCCAGCATCACAGTGCCCAGGTTCAAGATCGAACGCAGATGAACAACAAGTGGCAATGTGGCAAATGTGGGAAGATGGTCAACAACTGGCATCGTCACTGTCTTTGCGGCCAAGCCTGGACCGACAATCCCAGAGCAGGAGCAAGGGCGAGGAGCCAGAGCGCAGTGAGAGAACGACAGCGAGAGCAGCAGCACATCAGGAACTACATTCAGAAGTTACCGCCCATGCCACATCGTGCGGTGACGAATCACTCAGCCTTTCGTCCGACACCGTCAAGGCAGCAGGAGATTCCAGCGTGGAAGCAGGAGCTGGAGGACCAGCTGCTCAACGTCGCGAGCATGGCGATCTACGCTCGCAGGGCGGGCAAGACGGACACGGCGAACGAGCACGACATGGAGCTGATGGTGATGAAGACCTGCCTGGCCTCCCAAGTGCCCGTGAGGAAGCAGCGCGACGAGGTCAGAGGCAGACTAGATCGAGCCAAGGACCGTCTCAACAATACGGTATCGCGGCTCAAGGACTTATCCGAGCAGGAGAAGGAGATCGAGCTGGAGATCCAGCAGCTTCAGAGCTGCATGAACGAGCTGGAGCAGATGCCAGACGAACCGCCGATGGACGACCTGCACATGGCGTCCTCGGCCCAGCCCCAGGCCACAGTCGCAGGTGTTGGACCCTACGGGCCGCAGCCGCAGTATGCTTGGGGATTTGCTGGAGCGCAGCATCCACAGCAGCAGCAGCAGCAGCAGCAGCAGCCGATGAACCAGTATGTTGCGCATCAACAGCCGTCCTACATTCAGACACACCTACCTCAGTTCGGAGCGGCTGGTGGACAACAGAACGTGATCGGTCAGCAGCATCAGCAGCATCAGCATGGTCAGATGGGCCAGCAGATGGGCCAGATGGGCCAGACGAATTGCCAGCAGACCGATCAGCAGATGATGGACAAGAAGCAGCAGATGATGGATCAACAGATGAAGAGTCAGCAGCAGGGCCAGACAGCACCGCCGCAGCAGCAGTGCCAGATGGGCCCGCAGATGCACGATCCAGGTTTACTACAATTTCTGCGCATGATGGACCAGAGGCAAGCGAGGCAAGAGGATATCATGTCGAACCTAGTCTCGTGGATCAACACTGCCTCGGGCCAGCAGCAGAACCACCACAGGCAGCAGCAGGCCGCGGGGTTTACTACGGCCGCTGGGGAGACGGCGGCCCCTCCAGCGGACTCACCAGCGCCGCGTACACCAGAAGGCAAAACACCAGTGGGAGGCTGTTCGACGCCGATTGCAATGCCGAAGACACCAGCCTCACCTCAGTCCTTCGCACCAGCGCAAGGCACACCGCCTGCGTGGAGATCGGCACACAAGGAGAAGCTCCTCACGCCGACGGGGCCCGTGGCCACGCCGAGGGAGGAGCACAAGATGGAGGAGATCGAGATGCCACAAGCGCCGTGGCCAATTTCACCTACGGAGCCGTGGGCAGGGGGTACTCAGGAGGACCCTTACTTGACGGCAATGGCGCCGAAGGAGAGCGTGACGAAGATCGAGCCCAAGGAGGAGCCTGTTCTGGTGACGCCGCAGGATGGCGACATGACGGACTCCCAGGTACACAAGGAGATGGAGAAGATAGACCAAGCCTGTGCAGAGCAGCGAGCAGCGAGCAGCGCACCAACGGCCGCGAGCAGCTCAGCGACGGCCTCGACGGCATCGAAGTCGACGGCTACGAGGGGGGCGACGGCAAGGACGACGTGGGCAACGGCGGCAACGGACTCGCCGCAGCCGCGCAGCCCTGCGACCAAGGTCCTCAAGGTGGGGGGCAAAGGCGGCGCCTGAGGGGTAAGCAGGTGAGCTGGGCCAAACAGTTAGAACAAGCGCCTCCTTTAGAATGCAACACTGAAATAGGTAGGGATGTGCCGCATCAGGTTTCAACCTTGGGGGGCAAGGATTTTCTGACTAGATCCTGTCAAATAATTAGACAACAGTCTGGGGATAACACCTCATTAGGAGCTCCAGCCTTTTCCTGCAACACCTATACCAGGCAGCCTGTTGACCAGAGCGCGGGCTTTCCTGCGCACTGCGGAGACAATGGCGAAGCTAGGGGGCAGACATCGGGGCATCGACGGTCTCCTTCGACATTTGCATCGCAGACTTCGGACATGAGCACGGCAGACAGTGTGAGGACCCACGGGTCCATTGCCAGACGTTTCCCGAGCCAGTGCCAGTTTAGCATGAGTCAGCCCGCGCTGACGCCGTTGAGAGAAGCATTGCAAGGCAGCAACATCAGATTTGAAGCACTAACGCTGGAAGTCTTGCAGAGCACAGGGGTGTTAGAGGAGGAGGCTGCTGTTGCCCTGCGTGTTTTTCCGCCCGACGACGGGATCGGCGACGTCTCCGTCGCCTACTATTTTACCGACGGCTCGCTTTACCAACAGGGGGAGGGGATGGGGGGATGGGCAGTGGTAAAAATAGTGGTTAGGAATGGAAGGTACATGTACGGGGGAGTTTTAAGAGGAGAACTTGCGAGCAGCAGTGCAATGAACCTTGAGCCGAGCTCGGCCACCAGCACCACGTTGGAGTGTCTAGCGGTGATATGGGCATTGTTTGCAATCATAGTTGAGCGCCCAGGGCATCCCTGCACCCTGGACAGCGACTCGCTTAATGCGGTTCGGGCAGCGCTTGGGCAAAGCTTGCCAAATTCAGACAGGAAAATTGCTCAGCTTGTGCAGGTTGTGCGGGGCTTGGCCTCCAAGCAGCGTTCACTGGAGCTCGCCCATGTCAAGGCCCATGATGGCCATCCGTGGAATGTTTTAGCAGACAATGTGGCTAAAGCCACAGCGAGACAGCTTTTGCCTGTGGCGCCCGAGCTACCGTGGAGAGTCATCCAAGCCATTAGGATTGAAAACTCACGCCTGTGGGAATGGGTCCTGGATGCGAGAGAGGACTCTCATGCGCACCCCAGCGTTGTGTATGACAACGAGTGCGTGAGCCTCTCAGGCTTGAAGCCAGTTGCCCAGGCAGGGGATTTTCGAGAGCCGCGCGCAAGCGACATCAGGACCAGCAAGTTGCAGGTTGCTGTAGACATGCGTGTTGCCACTTTTAACGTGCAAAGCCTGCGGCATGCCTTTCGGCGGGGCTCGAAGGGAAGAAATCGAGCACGCCGTGCTGCGGCGCTCCGCACTCAGATGTATAGGAGCGGCGTACACATCATTGGAATTCAGGAGGGAAGGAACGAAAAGGGCACCAGGAGGGCAGGAGATTGGGTGTGCTTTGCAGCAGGACACCAGGACTTTGCGCTCGGCGTCGAGCTATGGATCAACGTGGGATCCCCCTATGGTACGTCCAAGGGAAAGCCGATAACCTTCAGTGCACAGCAGGTGCGAATCTTGTGGGCTGCACCGCGTTTGCTAGCATGCAGAATAGACGCTCCAGGGGTCAACCTCAATGTTCTAGTGGCCCACGTGCCTCATTCGGCTAACTCGGCCGCAGAAAAATTCAGTTTTTGGGAGGATTTAGACGCTGTGTGCAACAAGTGGCCCCCGCAGTTGTGCTTTATGGATGGCAACTGCCACCTTGTTGGAGACGAAGGGTGTGAGGTGGCAGGAACCAAGGGCACGATTGGCTCTTCTTCTGCGGGCAGTGCGAGGTTGAAGGAGTGGCTTAATGATCGCAAGCTTGTTGCTGCCAACACCTTCCTTGGGGAGGAAGCGGATTACACTTTCATAGCTAACAAAACGGGAAGCAAGCATAGAATTGATTTTCTCATAGCAGACCACCAACTTTTCAAAGCCATGAGTGAGGTGGCAGTTCTGCATGAGGTGGATCTCATACGGAAGCAAGATGATCGTTTCCCTGTGGTATCACGCCTTTGCTGGGTCAGGGACTCGGTGCGCGCTGCGAGGCAAGGGGCAGCTTTTGACGCACGCAAGCTCCAGGATGAGACAGCTCGCGACAAGTTCAGAGCCCAGATAGCGAGCCTTGAGCTACCAGCCTGGGAAAAGAATATGAATGATCATTTGATTGAGCTCAACGCCTCTGTTTTGGACGCGGCGAACGAATGTTTTAAGAAAGATCCCGTTCGCCCCAGGAAAACCTACATTCAGGACAATACCTTTTGGCTCATTAGGGTGAGAAGGGCCATGCAAAGGGTCCTTCACAAAGTTAGGCATCAAGGTGGGGTCGATAGGTACGTGAACCGTTTATTTTTTCTTGCTCAGGATCTCAGGAAGGGAACCCTTCACTCCAAAGGCTGGGAAGTAGGAGCCTTCGGGGGTGTCGTTTGGGAGGATCTCGGCCGCGGCTGGACGCAGCTCTACCAAATGGCTAAAGCCTTCTCTTGGAAACAACTGTGCCCCGATGAGTGGGTCTTAGGCCTAGCCAGATTCCTCAGAGAGTCGTCGGAGACACTCCTCAGAGCGCTTGACAGGGACTACAGTCAGATGCTGGAGGACAATGCTCATCTCATTAACGTTAGCATCGACGGCCGTATCTCTCAGGCCGAGTGGCGGTACGCCAAGAAGCTTTTATTGCAGGGCGGCAAGCGCCACCGACAAACGCTTTCTTTCCCGC